ATGAGTGTGTGGGAGGACGAAGGGGGGGGGGGGGAGGGGGGAGGGGGTCATGGGTCAGGGTCCCGCTGTTGGCTCAAGAGCTGGGCCTGGGGAAAGAGGAATACCGGCGCGGTGCTGCACCGTGGGCCTTTGTGAGCCTTCTCCAAGGTGGCTACTGCCCTTGCTCGAACATCAGGGGACGCAAGGAGGACTGGCACCTCCTCCCAAGCATCAGTCCTCTCTCACCATCCCACCCACCCCGCCACTGTCCCCCCAGTCTGCCCGACACGGAAACGGCGGCCTCGCTCTTCACCACCTCCCGGCCGCGGCGTGCGGAGCGGCGCTCCGACGCCGGCCGCCGCAGCCTGCTGCGCTGCTTCCTCTTTGCGCCCACCGGCCTGGACACCGGCCCGCTGCTGGAGGGCCTGATTGCGCAGGCCCGCCCCGTGCATGGCCTGCCATCGGTACCCATCACCGCCGCCGTGGCGGCGGTGAGCCTGCCCGGCGCGGGCGGCGCCGCCGCGCCCGACGCGGCCGAGCCCCGCACCCCGCCCCGGGGCGGGGATGCGCCAGGGGCGGCCGGCGGCGGCGACAACACCAAGGGCCTCGCCTCGCCGGGGACGACCGGCACCGGCCCTGCGCCGCCGTCGGTCACCCTGCTCCTGCGTCCCTTCGCGGAGGAGCAGGGCTCGGTGTTGCTGGGCTCGCCCGGCGCGCGCGCGGTGCTGGCGGCCGCCGACGTCGCCGCCTTCGTCTTCGACGCCACCTCGCGCGAAAGCTTTTCGGCCGCCGTGGCGCGCATGCTGGCGGTGGCCAGCGCCGCGGACGACTGCCTGCCCTGCGTGCTCATCGCCGCGCAGGACACCGTCATGGACCCGGTGAGCTTGGTGGGGAGGAAGGGGGAGGGTCCCTGAACGGGATCAAGGCCGATCCCCATGGTCCCCCTTGCGCCTCTGCCACGGAACCCTCTTCTGTGCCTAACGATTGCATTTATCACTTGGTGACCACCCCAGGTCATACCTCATCGTTCCTCGCTCTCCATCCCTGGCAGCAGCAATCTCCATTTCATCCAACCTCCCCCGCGCAGACCCTTGCGGCGGAGGTGGGGGAATCGTGCAGCCGGCTGGGCGTGGCCCCGCCCATCCCCTACTCCGGCACCTTCCCGGGCCGGGGCATGTACCAGGCGCTGGCGGGCGCGGCGCTGGGCGCGGAGCTCACCATCCCCGACACGCCCTCGCTGCAGGCCCGGCGGCGGCAGCGCCGTGCGCTGCGCCGCGCCGCCTGGGCCGGCGGCGCGGGCCTCGTGGCCACGTTGGCGGGGTACGCCGCGTGGCGGGCCTACCACGGCCTGCCGCTGCTGGGCTCTGGCAGGGCGGCCGAGGCGCGCGCCGTGCCGGAGGCCAGGGCCGCTGCCTGATGCGGGACCTCGCAGCTCGCCGTCATGGCTGTTTGAGTGGGGAAGAGGACCTCTCCCCCTGACGTGCAGGAACCCTTTTCTCTGGAGCACACTGCCATGCGTCTTCCCAATCTGTGAGGCACAGCTCCCCCTTTGACAACATGGGAGGGCCCATGTGCCTTCGGAGGAGCGGGCCACTCGATGTAGCCCAACACCCCGACGCCCTTCGTTTCCTTCCGCAGGGGTTCATTGCCATCAATCCCAGGCATCCTCGTCTTCGATGAACTTGGTTTGCAGGCATGGCAGTAGCACAGGAATAGTCAGCAGGACAGGCAGGGGTGGGAGCAAAGCAGTGATGTCGTTGTGGGCGACACCACCGACAAACCAAACAATAAAGAGGGGACATGGGTGCTGCCACATCAACAAGCACTAGAACCAGGGCTGCCAGGTGGGCTCCATGCGGCACAGGTTCTGCGGGTTGGTCGCCGCGTCCACCAGCTTGCGCATGCCGGTCTGCGGGTTGGCGGCCGCCAGCACGCTGCTGGCGGGCCCCACCGCCGCCACGCGCTCGGTCGCCGCCTTCACGTTCATGGCCACGCAGGTCTGGATTTGGGCGGGGCCAAAGCTGGAGCTGAGCGCCGCCACGGAGCGCGAGCCGGAGCGCCGGGCCGCCCAGGCCAGGATGTCGTCGCGGAGGAAGAGGGCCAGCAGGGAGGCCAGCGGCGAGTGCGGGGCCTGCAGGCCCTGCGCCGCGGCGGCGGCGGCCGCCACGAACAGGCCCTCCAGCCCGTGCACTCCCATGAAGGCCACCATGTTGCGCGTCAGGCGGAAGGGCACCGTCTCGTGCCCCTTCTCCAGCTGGAAGTGCACGTCGTAGTTGGATCCCTGTGGAACGATTTTAAAAGGGGGGGATTGATGGGCGTTTTGGTAGGCTGTGGGAGGGGAGGGGTGAGTTTCACGGCTTGGGGAGGTGCTGAGGCCGGGGTGGGAGGGGATGCTGGTGGAGTGTGGCGAGTGTCAGAGGCACAGTCCACGCACCGAGTCCCCAAACTTCACAGCACCCGGGTCCATAAGGAAGAGGTGGTGAAGACAGCTCCTACAAAGGTAAGACTCCCACCCCTGAGCCCCTCACCAGCTCCATCTGGCTGATGCGTCCCGTTGACTTGGACACCAGCACCCGCCCAGGGGAGCGCCCCGTCAGCAGCAGCATATAGCATTGCACGGCTGTTGGGAGAAGTGAGGGGGCACACGCAGTGAGGGCTTTGTTTAGGGTTGGGAGAGCTGGTGTGCCGATTGACGGCTGGCCAGATGCTGGCAGGGCGACAGAGAACAGCACGAAGCTAAGATCTCCGAATCCAGCCCACAAGAATGCCATGCAGCCCTGGTTTGATGCACCCTCCGCCCCCTTTCCCACACAAAAGATCCCCCTTTCCCCCCCCCCCCAACCGAAACCATCCACCTGACATGGCGGCGGACTGCGCAAACTGCTTCTTCACGATCCAGGTCATCTTGGGGTCGATCATGGTCTTGTGCATGTGCTGGCTCAGGATGTTTTCCGTCACCACCTTGGAGGCCACCTCCTCGTAGGCCGACAGCCGCACCTCCAGGTTGGTGGTGATGCCCTCCGCTGAGCAGCACCGCGCCTTGAAGGCCACGATCGGGTCGTCCGGCTCCCGGCCGTACCTGTGCAGGGTGATGAGGCGATCGAGTGCATACTGAAATGGGTGAGGGGGTCACGATGGGAAGGAAAGGGCGGGAGAGCGGGATAAAAGGGATGCAATACTGATTGTCCAGGGGCTGCTGAGGGCGTCCGGTGCGGCGCCGCCCCTCCTTCCCTTTTCTTGATTCAAGGCGCCACGCGCATCGGCTCCACTTCCCATTCCACGACCCCCCTCCCCTCCTCGCGAAAGTCCTTCCCAAGCCCAGAGACGCATGCCTACCGGGCGCAGTGGTTTTCGTACACGTCCAGGAAGGAGAGGGAGGTGGGATCGTCCTCCACGATGCGCACTCCCAGCCAGATGGGCAGGATGGCCGGGGTGGAGAACTGCAGGCTGCGCCGGCGCGACTCTGGGTGCATGGTCAAAAGCACGTTGGCGGCTCGCAGCATGGCCAGGATGCGCTCGTCCGACCCCGTCAGCTCTGCGGATAGATGGAGTGTTGGGGGGGTTAGGTTGCGGGGGGCCGACCCTCGAGCTGAGAATCCTATTTCTGGGACCGCTCGGGCCATCATTCGGGCGACAGGCGCCTCACAATTGCGGCCTCGGCCCCGTCCCCAGCCAGCTACCCTGCAGCGCACCACCAGACAAACACAGCCCCGCCGTTGCCTCGATCCTTTTCCTTCGCGCTTCCAACCCCCCACCCCCCACCCCCTCCACACGTTGCTGCTGGGCCTGGATGAGGAAGTGGCGCGGCTGGCCGTCCGACCCGTACAGCGTCAGGCGGCGGAAGGAGTTGCAGTTGCGCCGGACCACCTCCAGCGTGCTCGCCACCCGCTCGATGAAGACGGGCTCGGGGCTGTCCAGACTGGCGGGGGCCTGCCCGGGCATCTCCACGTCGTCCAGCGCCAGGTCCAGCAGCTGATGAGTGGGTAGAGGTAAGTGGGGCTGATGGCGAGGGTCTGGAGCGGAAATGACGTCGACTACCAGGGGCGAAGTGACGAATGGGCTTGCTCTCCATGTTGCAGGACTGGCTGGTCGAGTGGACACATCGACTCAATCCCCCCTCCGCACTCCCGTCTCCTCCTCACCAGGGGCGCCTCGTTCTCCAGCTTGAGGTGGGTGGGGTAGGTGTCCTCGATCACTGCCTCGAGCATGACCCTCCAGCCCTTGAGGCGCTCCGTCAGTGCGCCCAGGGTCTGGGGCGAGGAGGGGCTGGCCGGGTCCACGTCCTTGGCAAACTGCTGGTGGTACTGGTTGCTGCGTGACGGCCCGGCGCCGTCGCGCGCCGAGCAGGCCCGGCACACATTGACCAGCTCCTTCTTGAAGGTTTCGGGGATGGGGGCGGAGGGCGGCAGCCCCGTCTTGTACGTGCGCTGGCCCAGCGCATGCACCACCGCCAGCAGCCGCTCGTCGGTGCGATTGGTGAACCGCACCGATAGCTCCTGCATCAGGTTCTCCAGACCCTGTGAGTAGAGAGGTGGGGGGTTGGGGGCCGGGAGTGACAAAGGGTGAGAGCAGTGTTCTGGTGTCATGGCGATGGGTACTTTGGGAAGCCAGCGCCGTTTCAAGCAGCCATCACAGGCAGGCCAGAGGCCCAGAGCCTCTCATCCAGAGTTCACTTCCAAAACGCCCTTTTCGACGTCGCTCACCTGCAGCGGACCGCCAAACCGCCGCTTCAGGACGTCGATGACCTCCTTGAGCGCATCGTACGCGAGCACCTCCATGGGCTTCTCGATGGGCGGCGAGTTTTCCGGGGCGCCGCCGCCGTCAGCGCCCGGCGCGGCGGCGGCGGCGGCGGCGGCGGGCGTGCCCTCCCCCTCCGCTGCCCCCTCGGAGGCCTTGCCATCCTCCGTGGCACCACCCGCAGCAGCCCCGCTCGCAGGCTCCAGGCTGCCCGCCTCGCGGCGCGCGGCCTTGGCCACCTGCACAGCCTTCACCGCCGCCTCCTTGAGCGCGTGCAACGCGGGTCGCGCATGCCAGTAGACCAGCTGGGGGTGCGCTGCAGCGGCGACGCAGAGCACGCGCCGCGCGGCGGCCAGCTCGGGTCGCTGCAGCGAGACCAGGAGCTGGGGCAGCCAGGGCAGCCAGACCCAGGCGGGGAGATCGCCTGCCGCCTCGGCCAGCGTCCGGCCCACCACCTCGGCGCCGCCGCCGGAGACCATGAGCAGGTCTAGGAGGCGTGGGACCAAGGACCGCGCCTCCAGCCCCCCCAGCCGGATGGCTTGGGTGTAGCAGGCCGCGGCAAACTCCAGCCAGCTGGCGCCGGCGCCCGCCGCCTGGCGCGCGTCGCAGAAGCGCCCCCACGCGATCCATGCATCGGGGCACAGCGTCCACAGCGTGAGCGCCTCGCTGAAGGTCGCGTCGGCGGCGTCGCCCTCGCCCAGGGCGGCCAGGAACTGAGCCTTCAGGTTTATCATCTCTGCCTGGTGCTGGGGCTGGAAGTAGTCCAGGTTGGTGCTGTTGATCAGGTTCAGACCGTGCAGGTGGGTGTCGGGCTTCATCAGGTACGCTTTGGCCTGTGATGTTGGGGGG